AGAAACTGTTATTAACTTCATGCTGATGGCTCCCTCTGAGCACCTACACATTTGTTGTTAGTCGGAGGATCAACTTTAAAGGGAGAAAAACCTTGTGGTTGGTGATAACTATGCCTTTTGTGTCTCTTTATCATAGGAACAGGGGAAAATTGGAGTTGTCTTCAATATCGGCACAGTTGACATCTCCATCAAAGAGGAGAGAACTCCTGTGAATGACGGTAAATACCACGTGGTGCGCTTCACCAGGAACGGCGGCAACGCCACACTCCAGGTGGACAACTGGCCGGTGAACGAGCACTACCCCACAGGTACACACTTTGCTCTCACTGACCACACTTATTTTGTTCTCCTGTTCTTACTTCGAAATGGCGATTTTCTCACGACCATTACCAAATCATACAACGCTGACTATTAAGCACACATTCGTGACTTTTTGTACTTTTTGTATGAAAAAGTACATTCATACTTTTTGTATGAAAAGATAAGTTATTTCTTTAGGACTTGGTCCAGTATAGGGAGCTTCTGGAGACTTACTAACTATGCACTGAACACTTTTTATCAATCTCACTGCCTGACTGGCTCATACCAGAGACAATTATTTTAGGGTTTCCAGGCCACTGAAAATGATGAGCAATGGAAGGAAGAGACACCATCTCTATCATGAGCTATTGTCAACAATCATGGAATAATCAATTTGAGATCTGGACTTTGTAGTGTAATTCGTTTGGGTATGATTGAAGGTACAGCTGGCCAGAAATTGCAGAGAGATTGTGAAAGGAAGTTTACAAGTCAGGGTAACAGAGAGAAAAACTAAGGGTGGAATTTCGTTCATTTAGATGACTTTGCCAAGTTAGTTTTCACTTACGCTAAGCCTGCCTTGATATTCAGACATTGGTCCTAGTAGGCATTTTAATAGCAAGCATACTGGTGTGGGAGGAAGAGGGGTTAATCATCTGTTTAAATTTTATAGTCAAGCAGCATTTGCCAACAGACTCCCAGAGCCAGATGGCCGAATGAAGGGCAACGGGAGGAAAGGTTGCCTTCTTTAAAAGACATCATTTAAATAATCCCTTAGTTTTCCCTCTCATCTCTCACTTCTCCCAAGAAAAGAGCCCTGAACCCCGATCATAAATGTTCCAGCAGTGGAAGGGAAAATACTTGGGCTAATTGCTCTACAATTGCATTATCACCTGGTGGATAGGAGAGATTAGCTCAGAATATTGACTTTTCATTAATATAGGCATGATACTATGTCTGGCTCTCTATCGCCTACACTCCAAATTTCTCATAACTTTCTCACTGTTATCCTCTCATGTCTTTTATAGTGAGGTGGTCATAGAGACGAGAAAGCCAGAAGTACATTTCTGGAAGTTAAAGAGCTGTTTAACTAATAATCATGCGGCCCAATAATTTTGAATGACTTAAAGTCTATGATTACGTTTTCATGCTGAACTCCGCATTATTTTCTTTAAAAGTCGATCAAAAGTAACTCTGCTACTGGTTTTCCCCCTAATAGCCAGTTTTCCTATGTCCGTTTTAAGGATCATAGAACCATTCACAAACAGCATGCAAGACTCCCACGTTATTGACGCAAAAAGCGCCATCTACCTATTTATCTACCCTCTCAGTCTCCATTCAGTCTCCAGCTCAGGCTTGACTGGGAATCTCTTGTCATACTCTTAGCACTTCTTTAAGGCACAACAACGACCTTATGCATTCATCTTTGAGCCTTTGAAGAGAGTGGTGTTAACAGCTACTGTGAATTTTTATCATCATCCAAATTCACTAGACACTAATAGACCTAATTTTTAAATGTTTCTTCCTTGATCTGGGAGGAGTGGGGAGGAAATCAAAATAGCCTAAGATCTTGAAAGCAGTTTATTTGCTCATAGGAAAAATCAATCTCTCTCCATGCATATTATCATTGGCCCTGCTAGTGCAACTGTAGGGTTTGTTATGTTTTTATTAGGAATTTCAAAGATTTTTGAATTGATGTTAACTACTTGCCCCGAGCCAATATAGAATCTGCAAGCTTGCTGCCAGCAATGAGAAGGCTCTTTAATGGTCATTTTAAAGCCACAGATATGTAAGAAAACCAGTGACCCTTGCTGTGTGTCTATCTCTTTGTATCTTTAGTTCCAAATTATGGGTTGCTTCTTATGTTTACAAAACAGAAAAAAAAAAGCCTTTCTTCCTTTAATGGCATTGCTTCCCACTGAAAACTGTTATTACTAGTAATTGTTGGTAACTGTTATTTAGTAACAATAAGTGTTAGTATTATAGGACATGATACAATATAGCAATTATAACTATGGGCTTTCCTGGAGTTGAGATCTTGGTGCCAACAGGTGTGAGTCTAAGGCAGGTTGGATTAAGACCTTGAAATGCCCTAAGCACTGTAATATTCGGTGCCTCTCTTCACATATAATTCAAAATACAACAGTAAACCATAAAATAAGAATTTCTAATAGTTCTGATTTTCTTCTCTGATAATCACTGTAATGTTTTTAAAATACATCAGATTCTTTCTCCCCACGTTCTTATACTTTTTACTCTGTTTTCTTGGTTCTCTAAGTATTTATTCTTCCTATTTGGTGATCCAGTTCCAAACCTTAGGCAAGTTATTTACCTCCTGGGCTTTGGTTTTCTAGTCTATAAAATAGGGTAATGATAATACTCACTTACCAGGGTCAATGTGAAGACTGAGTTGAACACATGTAAAATGCTCAGTGTAATGCTGGATCAATTAAGTCAATATTCAATAAATGTTAGCTATGAGGATTACCAAACATTTGGGTAGCATTTCTTTTTTTTTTTTTTACTATTACATATTCACTCATATAGATGACTTCGCCTTAACAATTAAATTGGGTAGGATAGATATGCTTATTCTACATTTCGAAACTTAAAAAGATACCCAGGGAGATGCTGTGTCTTTCCTAAGGCCACATAGTAAATGAGGGAAAGAACGAAGAC